CCGTAATAGCACGCGTAATAGTGTTCGTAATAGTAGCGTAATAGCCGAAATTCTCAAAATTTGATCTATTTTAAGGTTTTTTCGGTCTGTTTTCAGCCAAATCCCTATATTTTGAGGCGTAATAGAGCGTTATAGGCGAAATAGTCGGGTCGCAGGTTTTAAGAGTGATTTCCCCCTCGACACGTCCCTCGCCATGGTCGCTCAAAATATCAACCTGCTCTAACTGAACCTTTCCATCTGTACCAGTCTGAACCTATTCATTTAGAAAATCCCACACAGGTTATAGACGCCTGGGATGAAACCTAACTCACAGTCTCACGAGTGTCTGGGCTTCCCTCGCCAAAACTTCCTCACTTTTGCCGGGGTGTTCTTCGAACCGACGCGGTGTGCGAAGAGGGAAAAGTGGGGATGGGGAAAGGGGGAAACTGTTCCTTCAGCATTACAAGTCCGAGAAGCCGGTGGCCGCATTTGCATAGGGACAGAGATAACCACTGTGTAACGAAGTAAGTCCAGGCCGTTCGCAGCCAAGTGCAAACGGGGTGGGAGGGAGGCGCGGCGCCGCCGTCTTGAATGCTCTTTTCGGTCTGCGGCGCGTGGCGTGGCGAGGTGGGGTGGGGCGGGGTGGGGCGGGGGTGGGGTGGGGGCGGGTGGGCGGGGTGGGTGGGCGGGGTGGGTGGGGTGGGGCGTGGCGGGGCGGCCGCGGGCTGTATCGAATGTGGCTGAGAGCCGCAATTAGGACACCCAGCCGGTGATAAGCTGCTACTGAGCCTCGCAGCACGACCACCCGCCCGCCGCGGGGTGCGCGTCCGGGGTTCGACTCCCACCCGGGGCCACCTTTTTTTTTGTCCCCCATCCCCATCTCTCTCTCCTCTCTTTTTCTGGTGTCGTCGTCTATTCGCGGGGTTTCGCCGTAATTTCTTAATCGGCGTCGGTGATGGGAACGCGTGGCCGCGCGGTGGCCGTCGTGGGAGCGCGTGGCTCCACTCGATGAATGATCCCATTCGATTCAGTTTGTCAAGCGCGGGAGAGGGGTAGGGGGAGAGGGGAAGGAAGGGAGGGGAAGGGGGAGAGGGGAAGGGGGACAGAGGGAGAGATGGGAAGGGGAGAGGGGAGATGGGAAGGGGGACAAAGGGGGACAGAGGGGGAGGGGGGGTAGAGGGGGAGGGTGGGGGGCAATGGGGAGGGGGGAGGGAGAGAAGGAGGGTGGGGGGGGGGCAGTTCCAGGACCATTTCGTCTCGACACTTTGTCTCTGCGAAAACAGCAGCGCCGCTCGGGCGGGGTCATCGAATCGAACGCGAATCCCTCGACGGCACGCGAGTGATCGGCCAAGTACGACCTGCAGACTGATTCCGAGAGTCGTTTTCGTCGCTCTGTCTCTCCTCGCACTCATGAGGCGTTCCCTGTGGAGGTGCCGGAGAGAGACAGAGCGACGAAAACGACTCTCGGAATCAGTCCGCTGTCCCGATCCGAGAACGCCATAACTGCTGGGCGGGAACGCCATGGTCGAGACGCTCTCTGGCCGCTGGATTCCGTAGGGTCCTTTCGTGGCTCCGTCTCTCTCGCACTCGTGCGGAACGCCACATGAGTGCGAGAGAGACAGACAGAGCGACGAAACGATCCTTCGGAACCAAGTGCCTGGGTCGGTCCTTGTGTGCAGGGTGGGGCAAAGTTTGGGCGGTGAGCCGGCATGAGTGACGTCCAATCCGAAAGAACACACTCGCGCTGGGCTCACGCCAGGCAGGGCCGGCGGACCGATTCCGAGAGGCGTTCTCGTCGCTCCGTCTCTCTCGCATCCACGCGGGATACCCCACGAGTGCGAGAGAGACAGAGCGACGAGAACGACTCTCGGAATCAGTCTGCACGGTCAGACAGTGCGGGGCGCGGCCGCCCGGATCACGCGAGCCATTTAACCCGCCGACACACCGCACGCCAGCATCTTGTCCGCGTCGCGCGCCGCCTCCCGCCGCCTCGGCGGACGGCGGAAAAAAAAAGAAGAAAGTACAGACGCAAGTGTGCGTACTTGCAAAGCACAAAAAAAAAACAAATTCTGTGGTCAATTTTTGTTAACAACTGTACTGAAAACTTAGCAGGCCTCAGGAAAACTTAGAGTGCTCTGCGCATACTAAATTCTTGAGGACCTTTTTTTAAAAACATAATTATGCATGCACAGACCGGTACGTAAGGTGTGCATAGACACTGTATTATGCATCACTGGTGAACATTTTGGGCTGGAAGATGCATGAAATGTACACTGAGATGCATAATCTTGTTCCCACCTTGCATGCGTATCTGTTCATGCATAATTGTGCTGCACAGAAAGTGCATACTGAGTTCACACTTTGGCGCCCTACACGTGTAAGCAAAGAGATAAATTTTCATTGTGGAAACTATTTTGTGGCTATCACTAGATAATAACAAATTCATCGCTGACTTACGATAATTATCATCAGATTTTGTAATGCGCGAAATGGTTTGCAGTTGACAGTTAGCAAAAATTGTCAATCTACATTTAGAACGAGGTTTAAACTTGCATGTACAGAGTCCACCAATAGGTGTTGACAGTTTGGTTTGCAGTAGGCTAGTGCATTCAGCTTCCATTGAGTTAAAATAAAGTCATGAATGAAAAGATGTTCTAAGAGAAGAGGGCAGAATACGTCTCTAAAAACGTGTGTACTGGGTACACACAAATGAACTGGGTGCACGTACACAAATGTACTGGTATGCACATGTACTGAGCACACACAAATGTAGTGGGTGCACACAAATGTACTGGGCACTCACAAACCGAAAAAAAGAAGTTACAAAATGATCGGCGCGATACTTTGACTCGGCGCAGCGACCGACTCCGCGGCGCTCCCCTCGCGTCGTCGTCGGCATCGGGCGGCGGAAGTGAAAATCACGTCGACGGCAAAATACTCGGCCATAACGGTCTCACGATATGGGGAGCGCGGAGGGTGCGATAATTTCTGATTATTGGATCCTTTTTGTCATTCAAGGTCTCTCCCCCGCCCCGCCCCGCCCCGCCCCGGGCCGCACGCCCCCGGCACGGCCCTACAAAGGGTGGGTGGCGGCGCTGGTGGTGCTGGCAGGCCGAGGGCGGGCCGCGCGCAGCACAACAGCAGCGCATCATGTCTAGGCAGCCAACAACTCCATTATCTGACAACCATTGTTGCGACCAAGTTATTTATGGAGCTGGGAGAGGAGAGTCAACTCGCCGCTGGAGCCACTGTTGTAGCCGCTACTGCTGCCGCTACTCTCGCCGCTCCTACTGCCGCTGCTACAACTGCTACTGCTGCAACTGCTTTCGCTGCTGCTACCACTCCTGCCACAACTGCATCTATTGCTGCTGCTGTCCACGTCACACGCACAGACACAGACACAGACACAGACACACACACACACACACACTCTCTCCTCTTACAGCATCCCTAGCCCGTCCCTACTCGCCCGCGGACCGTCGTCTGTCCTCCAACACACGCAAGACTCGCTTTTGTGGCGCTTATCACTGAAACCTACAAAACGCCACGCTCGTCTCGCCACGAACGAAAAAAAAACGTTCTAGATTTTCATAACTTTGAACGCGGAGGGACTGGCTTATTTGGCTGAAAATTTCGGCGGAGAGACGACAGAGATCCCTTTGAAGTAGCATTCTGATTTTGAGACAGATTCTACATCTCACTATGCACGAGGTTCCGTTTCGGTGGCTGTTGAAAGTTTGTCCAACGGTTAACCCCTTGGGTTTCGCATCCTCTTTCTGCTCGCAGAAATTTGAGTCAGAGCCCTTCACTTAATATCAAGATCAACTGAAACAATAAAGTAAACACTCGGAAATTTGCATTGAGACAGCGAGTCTAGTTCGTCCACCAAAACTCGCTTTGATGTTGGGACGTTGGTGTGCTTTCGTTTCCGCCAGTTCCCCGCCGTGCGTTCAGGTCCCCAAGGCAACCCTCCACGGTCGCTTCATCTCGTGGTGAGATCGACTGAGAAAAATGTTCTTCGATTGACGCCCAAAGGGTTGGAAAATCCTCATCACTGAAATTTACACCCACACTGAAATTTGGTGTGAAACGTCTCACCAATTTTTCAGCGAGAAGTATCACCCTTTTTCGGTCGTGCATCGAAGTACCACCGTTTATGGACTTGAATGTCTTGAATGACTTGACTATCTCCAATTTTCCGTCAGGAGTCTTACATCTGATAGGGTGAGATGTCTCACGTTTCGATTTTCAGTGCAGTGCTGCTACGCATTTGATTCCCCAGCCAAGGAGGCAGGAAATCCTGCAGCCTCCATTTTGATTTCGATACGCCATTCACTGCAATTTCAGATGACGGACGTGAATGTCCAGAACAGCGTAGGTGCTCTTGTACCCGTTTAAGGATTTGCTTCACAAAATGTGACTCAACTGACCTCACCCTCACGGTACAGGTAGAAAAGGTTCACACACAACGAATAAAAACATTCCTCACACTTAAAACCTTACTAAGTATTTTGAACATACATAATACGAACTAATTTACTTTTTTATACGAAGAAATTAGTTCGTAAATTACGAAGTATTTTCTTTGAAAGCTTATGTATGCTCAAAATACTTCGTTTAAACAAACCGCTTTTCTTTGTAAGCTCTGAATTAGTTTGTAAGGTTTTCTCAGTGCTTGCTGGATAGATTTTTGGCGCCTCATTTTGTTTACAGATGTGAAGCGGGCCCGAGAGGTCCACCACTCAGCTCAAAAAAGAACACAGGATTACTGATTACCAGTGATTACCTTAGAAAGTTCTCTCAGAACTCTTAAACTTTGGCATGATAGGAGCACTTTTGGCGTATTTCCATAAGAAATACCCCCAAACGGCGATAAGACCAGAGAAAATATCCAGTTTTGACATATGATTACCAGTGATTTCCGGAGGAAGTGTACAAGGATAATCTAAGTGGTAGGCCCAGCGAGCTAAACCCAGGCTGTGAGTTAGAACCCCTAACTCAAAACTTAAACATCAACTCACCGTGGGTTTGGCTGGGCCGCTTGTGCTCCTGGCTGGAGGGGGCGGGGGTGGTCTGCGGGGCGGGGGCGGCGTGCAGCTGCTGCTGGCTGACGGGGGTGTGCGCGCCGCCCGCCGAGTGCGCCGTGGAGGCGCCCTGGGGGGCGGTGGCCATGCTGGCCGCCGCGCTGGCGATGCTGGAGGGTGCCAGGTGCTCGGCGAGGTGCTCCGTGAAGGAGGCGGGCGACAGGTAGCCCTGCGCCGCGCGGTCCTGCAGCGCCGCCTTGGCCTTCTCCACGGACTGCTTGAGCTGCTCGAACGTGGACGTGTTGCAGGCCAGGCGGTACCAGTCCGCCCCCGGCGGCACCGCCGCCACGCCCGCCACGCCCGCGCCGGAGCAGTCCTCGCTCTTGATCATGGACGGGCAGGCGAGCCGCTCCAGCGCCGACTGGTACGAGCACGAGCTCTCGTACATCCTGCGGCAGACAGGGAGGCGTCAGGGTCGAACAGTGAAAACGTTCCCTTACTTTGATAGATCCTTTGGGTGGTCGCCGAGTGAAGAACAACACTGAGATTCCAAACGCTATGAGTATAGCGTCAATTGGTGCAGCAATGCGATTGCATTGCACATAAAGTGCAATGCCTTCCCATTCCCATGCATGAGCACAGGGCATTTTCGGAATGTAAGGTGCAGTATGGCTATGGCATTGCACGTATGGTGCGATATCTCAGTGCATTGCACCGTAAGTGCTATACTCATAGCGTTTGGAATCTCAGTGAGAAGCAATCAAAAAGCCAGGAACCATAACGAACGTGCCCACTGGTTCCTGGCCTTAAAATTACTCTAGTTCTTCATTCTGCGCTGCGACGACTGAAAGGGTCTATTTCAAAGGCTAGGGAAAAATTCGAGAAGTTTGTGACCTGGAGTTTGCACCTCTTCTCAAGGACATTAAATTGCAACGCGTGGATGTGCGAGTTTGTCACGAACTGCCCCAGCCACTCTAACAGGGTAACAAAGGTGGCCTACTCCACAGACCTCCGCATCCATTACAGAGGGAGTTCATGATCAGATTTTCACGTTTATCTGAAATTGGTCGAGGGATGACTTTAAGCTAAGGTATCTGCTCTGTAAGGATAAACGGTTGTACTTCACGCACAACTTTTCTTCCCTACCTTTACTCCTATGAAATCACCCCACGTGTGCTCTGAGAAAAATTTTTTTGACACTTCATGAGGGTTTCAAGCTTATTTTTACTTGCAAGAATGTCATCAAACCAGTGAACAAAGTTCCTGTCACAGTCATGGGCATGCAAAACGTAAAGGAGCTGTGATGAAAATGTCATCAATTTGAGATGAATTTACGAGGTAGGTGTACGCCAGACTATGTCTTGTAACAGGCTCCGCGATGCCATCCACACTTGGCGTTTACACCTTACTTGGTATGTGGCGCTTGCCTTGCCGAAGGGAGGCCAGCCTTCCTCCACAAACTGAAGTGTGTACTCAGTACGCATCTTAAGATGCATACTTGGCTGAGTAAACATCCACACATGCATACTGAGTGCACACTTCAGTTTGAATATTCTTGGCGAGACATTGCCATACGCAGGGGTGAGATTTCACGTCGAAAAGTACAAGTAGAATTGTAATCAATAACGCCAGTCAACACATGTCAAAGTAGCTTTTAAACGAAATCCTATTAGCGCACCCAAACATCAAGGGATAGGGTACTTTCGTAGATCCCTGAACGGGAAGCACATAGACGCCATGTTGGCGGAAGTAGATCCAAACTTGACATGGGAAAGAGACGTTCGTCAAACGCACCGGCCACACTTGAACATAAACAGTTGTTTGATACTTGTTTGCAGTGCATATGTGTTTCGCGAGCAATATTTGTACAGCTCGGCTATAGTTTTGGATCCGAAGAGAGGTTAGTTTCCGGCCAATTTGGCGTCTGCTGGTCTGCTTGCTTCCGGTTCAGGATTCTATGAAAGTACCCTATTGCTGACAAAATAGCTGCAGAAGCAGAGGTAGTGTGTGTGGGTGTGGGTGTGTGTGTGTGTGAACTGAAATAGACACTTCTAGCAGGGCCTGAAGTGAAGAACAAGAAGAACATAGACCGGAAACAGTACAAGAGGCCTTATCGGAGGTTTTGGCAGGTTTAAATCACATTCTACTAGAAACTAAGACATCCTGAATTTCAGATTGAGAATAAACACTCATCATCAATGAAAAAGCTTTCTTTGGCAGCTGTTTCGGGAATATGTTCTCCTATTGTTCTTCACTTCAGGCCTTGCTAGAAGTGTCTACTTTGCTGCCCGATCCGCGCGAAATTCCACAGCCCCTCTCGGCCATCGCGAAGCACCCTCCCCGCCTCTGTCACTTGGGCGGGCCCCGCAGGGGCCGGCAGGGCCGTTCTGGCGGTGAGAAATGTGCCGGCTAAGCGATCTCTTTGCCCGGCCGAGGTGGCTCGTCCTGAAAAAAATGTGAGGAAAAAACGCGCACGGCGATTGTGCGCGCCTCCCGCCAGTGAGAGCCCCCTTCCCCTCCTCCACCCTCCCCCCCCCTCTCCCCTTACCTCCTCATCCCCTCCCCTCGGCCCTGATGCCGCGCGCTGGCCCCCATAACAATAGCTGGTTATGGCCGTAAAATGCTATCTAAGGGTCGGCGATGACCCCCGCAGCGACCCCCAGCGGGCCGCAGCGGGGCCGGACGGTCAAAGGGCTGCATGTCCCTTTCACCTTCCCTTTTCACGGGACGCCCCGAAAAGACATGGAAAAAAAGAAAAGATTGGAGATGTAATCAGTTTGCCGCCCGTTTACCTCAAAGTGCCCGACGATGACACATTGAACGGCGCGATGGAATCGCACTGCAAAAGAAACAAAACGACAGGAACAGCGAGGAGACCTTTCGGTCCCCTTTTCACGCGGTCGACAACTTTGTGAGGTTTTTCGGTGGCCACCGCGGTTGACCTGCACTTGTCATGTGACCTTGACATTTTGAAAGCTCAAAACAATCTGAGGAAGCAATGCGTTGGAATTTGCCTGATCATCTATCTTTTCAGGCGTCCATACGCCTCGTTTCACCCATACGCCCTCTTTTAAATTTTAAACTTTTCAGAGGAATATTTTCCTTCAAAATTTACTCTGAATCCTCAGCTTACATTATAATGGGATCACATGGAAGTGCTCCATTTCCGGCACTTTGAACTGACGAAGGTCACGTGTACGCAGGCCCATGTCTCAGCGTAACAGCTCCGTTGGGAAGCCACGCCGTTTCAATCACGGGACGGGGCTTTGGATTGAAATGTCTTCTGGCTTGGGCTCGGAGTGCGAAGAACAAAACCGGAAGTGAGAAATGCGAACGCAATCTACGAAACTGCACCGGAAGTCAGAGGACGCCTCCGAGCCCCGAAGTAAACCTGAAGTTATGTTAGAGAAGAAGTGTAAGCGGTTCAAATTTTGAAGTAACAGCACAAACGCATTGCTGAAGCAAAGTCATTTCAAACTGACTATCGTTTTGATTCTATCAGGTCATGGTAAGCTCCCGCTAACATGACGCATGAAGACTTTACGAACTACGAAAACTCCCTACATGGTGATTACTTCTAATGAGAGTCGGAGGTGAAGGGAAAAAGTTTTATACACTTCCGTTTTAAGTTACCATTGAAACACCCTTGGCACTTCAGGGCCTATCAAGACAAAAATAACAATGCACCAGACCGGAAACAATACTAGAAATTGACTCCTTAGGTTTGGACAAATCAAAATCGCCAAATTGATCTTACCTAATGGCTTTCTCCATTTAATCTACGCAGGATGCGCTTCACAACTACGAAGGAAATGAAGGCATCGTCAAATTGCCTCCTGATGCTTCGCACAACGAAGGATTTTTCTTCAGATTTCGTAACATTTCTTCGTGACTTTACCAATACCTTCGTTTCCTTTGAATATCAAAGCGATGCTTCGTAGACTTCTAACTGTGCCAGGGCAAGATGACTCCGATAAGCAAGACAGAGACAAACAAAATGGCGTCGCTCAGCCGAGATGAAAGAAAGGTGCCTCAGCGAATGGAATCGGCTGGCCCCGTTTACGCGCGTCTGCAAGCGGCCAAATTGCGGCCGGTCCGGAGATATGTAAGAGGGGCGCATGCAACATGCTAAGGCATTGCTTCCTACTTGAGTTTCGAGCTGGCTGCGTGCCCTGAAGCCCTGTGGAGTAGGCTCGTATGCACATGAGCGCGAACGAGTGCAAAAGATTTCCCCCTCAGTATCTCCCGCCTCTCCTCCTCTTCCTCTCCCCTTTCGTCTCATGTACCGCACCGGGCGATTTTTTGCTGCACACTCGTACTACGGCAGCACTTTCACTCAAGTATTTGTTGACCGTTCTGAGCGGCCCGGCTTCAGTGGCAGCGCACCACATTGACACTGGAGCTTGCATTGGCTTTGACATTTTCGACCGCAAAAGACTTTTCTGGTTCGCTATATTGAGTTCGCCCGAGTTGTAAGGCGTACAGAATTGCGCTTCTGCGAGTGCTTCTTTGCCACAGTTGCAGCATTCTTGTCACTCATCGATTTCTGGTTCCAAGCACCGTCTCGAGCTTCACTTACTGTCAATTAACATTCACGTAAACAGCATGCTACGCTTAAAAAACATGGCAGCAGCACAACGCTGTCGTGTTTTGGCGGTGTCTGCATTATAACATGATTTCACTGCGCGCACGATCTTGCCTAAGGTATGTTAACTTGTTTTCCAATCCGTTTGATTATTAGGAAAAAAACATTAAATTGACCACAAAATGAGGCTCTATCTTTGGAATCGAACTTCGGATTGGATGGATTGACGTTCACACTAAATTACTTTGTTCAGAGCTCTTGCTCTAAAAACTGCAAAGTAGCTATACAGTGTGTTTAATGTACGTCAATCTAAATTTCATTTTCACGATAGCGGCATGCAAGGCAAAGCACTGAGAATGAAAGAGTTGTCCGTCCAGGACTAAAATTTTGGTTGAGGATTACGCTCGCAAAGGTTTCACACGGATTTGGATGGTGATTTTATCCAGCGTATAGGTCGCAGGTAAACCCTTCATCGCCCAATTTTGGGTAAGGATTTAGCCCAAAGTAATCAACTTGTTCTCCAATCTCTTAATTTCATCTCAAAGAGCACGAAATTGCCGTCATCGCCCGAATTGGACTGATGAATTATCCTCGCCCAAATTTGAGTGGTAATGTTGACATCGCTCGAATTATGGTATTGATCAAGACTCTTTCATTCTCAGTGAGGGTTTTCACCGGCACGTCCATCAGTTGACATGCGCTAGAAGCCTACCTGGCGGCGAGGTACTCCGTCGGCCCCTCGGTGAACAGCTTGCCGGTTGTTTCCGAAGACTGGTTCTCAAAAAAAGCTGCTCGCCGGGTCGGCAGCGGAGTCCACTATCACGAGCAGCGCGGTCATGGTTCTCGCTGATGGAAAACCATCTCTTCAAAGTGACGCGGGTTCGATTCCCGCCGCGCTGTTGCACTTTTTTCTTCCACTGTCTTGAAAATTAACACAAATTCCTTGGCGGAGACGCGACACGACACTGATCGCGGCGCGCGAACTCAACTCGGCGAAAGTGGGGATACTGGGAAAGGTGGCATGGTACCGGGGGCACGGCGCGGCGGGCCAGGCTTCGCGAGGCTTCGCAAGGCTACGCCAGGTCCATGGGGAGGCTCCAAGATACAACAACACACTGCACCGACCAACGCGCCGCCACCGCCCAGCGCCCCGCCCCGCCACCCCCCACCCACACCACCCCCACCAGGGCGGGGCGGGCCAGGGGTGGGCACAGGGGGAGGGGGAGGGAGGGTGCAGCGACAGGTGACGAGCAGGCAGCACGTCCTTGAAAAGCAAATGTTTGTGTTTATCGTGTGTGGCCGAGGATTACTACTGTTGGCGTGGCCAGATTTACAGTGGTCACGCGTCACGCGACTGCTATGCTCTGTCCGCTTGCCCACCGCGATGCAGCTCGCTGGCCGGGAAACCACAACCACTCATTGTACGCAGACTGCTAAATTTTGATTGCGCCTCAATAATCTACGACGAAATTGGACTAATTTCATTTGTTGCACCATGCTCGGAATGGAAAATATTTTGATCCCACTAAAGGTCTGCAAAGGTCCAACAGTGATAATGATGGTTTTCATGATGATGATGGTCGCCTTTTCCTGCCACCCAATTAAATTTCTCATCATTTCAGATTTCAAAACCTGCGAATGACAAACGAAAAAAAACCTGCGAAGGACAAACGAACAAAAACAAGTTATGCTATTCCAGAAGCATGATTTTGGTTCGGTGCAGAAACAAAAGTTGCTCTTTAGCTTTTTATAAATCTTACAAACAGAACAGACATAAATTCTCAAAGTTAAACTTTTAAGTTTGTACGCTTTGCTTTGCAGTTCAATCTTGTCCTTGTGGGGATGCTCCTGCCAAGATCTACTAGAGAACCCTGTGTTCATGATGAAATAATACTTCGGACTCATGTCAAAATCAATGTATAGGTCGTGACGAGAACTCACGGATATTTTTGGTTACCGGGCGTCATTATTCATTCTTCCACAGCTGCGACGACTTCTCTGTGTGCCACTGGGAAAACCCGCCCGTTTCCAGCGATGCTTGGCGCGCAAAAAAGAGCAAAGCCAGAGGGGGCTCCTTCTGCCAGTGGAGGACACGCGCCGGGAAGGCGTCCTTCTCGCCGTATCTGCGCGGCATCGTCGGGCGGCAGCTTGTAAAGGACGCGGAAAGGTAATTTTGTCGCCATTACATAAAGGCGCCGCGCCGCGTGGAAAAGAGATCTCGTATCGTTCGGCCCGCGGGCGCTGAAAGGGAGGGAGAGGCGGGGGACACTGCAAGAAAAAGTGTAGATAGTACAGCAAAAGTACAACAGAAACTGTACAAACAGGGATTGTAGAAAGTACAACGAGAATTGTACAAACCACAACGAGCCCTGGACTGCACAGCACTCCTCATGCCGGTTCCATTGTACGTTGTACAACAATTGTTGTACTTGAAAAGTACACTAAATTCCTGATAAAAAAAAAATTGGCCAGAAATTTGTGTACTATTGTTGTGGTTACTTCCTGCAGTGGAGAGGGGGGGGGACAAACGTAAACGCGTCCCAAATGGAAGAGGTTTTGCGGGGGACAAACTGACGCAGGTTTGATTTGCTGGAATAAAGTTCTTTACAAGTCACCTTAAACTGTTCAGTCCGTGAACCTCGCAAAGCAGGTTGTGGTATCATGTTCAAAATTTTTCGGCCTTCAATGTGACTTTGCTCATGTGGTATTCTTTGTTGAAATAGTCAGTAGTTTCTTATTGTTGCGTTTTCTTATTTTTGAAAAAGATGAGGGGGGCGATTGATTACCTCTTCGAGGCCTTCACTATTTTCACTTGAGTACCGGGATCATCCGGTCCCATCTGCTGCATACTGATTGAATTCTGTATAACCTTGTGAGGCCTCAATCGGCAGCAGATCATTGCTCCTGGTCTAGCGCCGTGGTCATTTGTATTTGGTACCGCATTGTTACGACGCTTCAGAGCGAACCTTCTGATGATCAGCTATCCGGACCCTTCAACCACCTGTAGTGTCTTCAGACGGGGGATCGAAAGTAGTGTGTGGGTGGAATGAAAGACGTGTAGGTGACATGTCCCACATTTCCCTTGCAAATCAACCTTTGTTTCCTCCCCCGACCGAACGCGCCTCTCGACCCGACCCGCCCTTGCTCCAAGACAGCAGACGTCAGTCCACAGCCACCGTCCGTGCCCTCACTCGCCGTTCCCGAATTCCCAGCAGACTGATTCCGAGAGTCGTTATTTCGTCGCTCTGTCTCTCTCGCACCCACACGGGACGCCCCATGAGTGCGAGAGCGACAGAGCGACGAGAGCGGCTCTCGGAATCGGTCTGCAGATTCAAATTCCCCGCGTAATTCGCGGCGGCGGGCAATTCCCGCAGACTCCGTCGCGGGGGTGGAGGGGCGGGGTGCAGCGGGGGCCGCGATGCGCTGTGATTGGGTCGATGCCGCGGGGGTGGGGGCGGGCCGCCAGCCCCAGAGGCAGCGCGAGGCAGCCCTCGCCGAGCCGGGCGCCGATTGGTGGGCAGGCCCGGCAGAGCCAGGGTGGGGGCGGCAGGGCGGCCAGGGCGGCGCTGCGAGGAAGGAAGCCAGATAGGCTGGAAGGAAGGAAGGATCCACTATTGTGGTGCCGGTGCTCTGCAGGGGAGGGGGAAAGAGAGAGAGAGAGAGAGAGAGAGAGAGAGAGAGAGAGAGAGAGAGAGAGAGAGAGAGAAGGGCGGAGGAGAACGGAAGCAAAGAGCATACTCGGCAAGAAGAAGCAGATAGCCAGGCGCAGCCCGCGCAGCACACGTGCGGCTCCCTGTGTGTGTGTGTGTGTGTGTGTGTGTGTGTGCAGCGTCTGCCACACGTGTGGTTCAATACGCATCCACCGAAATAACGCCAGTACAACAACCACGCCCTGCTCCTCTGGATATGGATCAATTTAATCCCCCTCCTGACAAGGCAAAGAGGTTCCCGTTACGAAGACGGTCGGTCAAAGTCTTCTTGATCCCTGACATTTGGAATGAATATTTTCTTTGAATATCAGAATAATTTTACTCTGATATTTAATTCTGATATTTATAACAATGATTTTTCTTTCCGCCTGTCATATTTTGTTGGCCTTTATTTTCGGCAGTGTGTCACGGTGCGGTGCGCCCATTACGGAGTTGGTCTTCAACTGCCAACAAGTAAGTTGGGGCCGAGGCGGGCCGAGCCGCGTCGCGTCTCCTCGCGACGGCGACCCCCCCCCCCCTCTCTCTCTCTCTCTCTCTCTCTCTCTCTCTCTCTCTCTCTCTCTCTCTCTCTCTCTCTCTCTCTCTCCCTGCCCCTGGCGGTCCCCAGCCTCCAGAGCCGAGGCGGCTGTTTTGTTCGCCAGTCGGCGGAGCAAACTTTGCTGGCTGTTGATGCTGAGTGGTGAAGCCTTCTTAGCGGATCCCGAGGACAAGCGTCGTCTCTGCCGCGGTCAAGGACGGAAAGTTTCGAGAGGCCGCGCTTCGCTTTCGAGAGGCGGCGAGTCTATTTTCGCGGCTTCTGTCGAGGAGAATCGAGGAGAATCGAGGAGAATGCTGACGTCGATGATGTCGTTGACAGGCTCGGGACCACCGACTCCGAGTCCCCGGTTTGCTCAGCGTCCTCCCGTCGACGCCATGGGTTTGCTTCGCCTGGCAGACAACAGGCGCACAGAGGGCCAGAAGACCGGTGGAGGTAGGTGGACGAAATTCTGAACGCGTTTTGAGCTTCAACAGAAAGTGTGACTCCAGCAATGGATTCCTCGTTCGGAGAGCAATCCATTAGTGGGATCACAAGTTTGGTTCGAGTCCCATTTAGCGACTCTGGAGCTCAAACCCCGTCTAGAGTTTCGGCCGCCTCCACCGGTCTTCTGGCCCACTGTTCATCGACGCCAAGGGCTAATTTTCGCCCGGCGGACAACCAAGGCGACGCAGACTGATCCTCGCTTCCGTGTGCTCCGCAGCAGCCCGGCTAGCGCGGCGGCCGCCGTGCCGGGTAGGCCGACCCGCCGAGCAGCGGAGCGCAGCGCGTTGCCTAGCCTCCGGATGACAGGGGCTACGGGCCGCGCAACCGTGAAAGAATCCCAGGTGGAAAAGACGATGATCCTTCCACTTTTTACAGTGCAGGTCTTCTGGCCTCTCCAAATTGACGTCCTTGGCAGTTCTTCCATGGATTTGAGGCTGACAGTCCCCTAAGCTCCACCTGAAGCTTCAAACCTTACGATGCATATTTTGAGCACATTAAGGGCACAAACTATTTAGTTTGTTATACAGCACTCGTCATGCCGGATCCATTGTACTTTGTACAACAATTGTTGTACTTCGAAAGTACAATAAATTCCTGATAAAAAATTTGCCAGTAATTTGTGTACTTTTGTTGTGGTATTTTCTTGCAGTGAATAGTTGGTGAGGTTTTCAGAGTGCAGCGCATTCGTTGAAAGTCAATTGAATCAAGAAACTTGTTCCCTGCCGCCGCTGGAGCGAACCCCCAGCTCGGCAGCCCGACCCATCCCTGCGAAGCGAGCGGCCGCAGCGCCCTCCCGCAAGCGCGGCCAGAAAACTAATTTCGGATCAATGTTCCGTGGATTTATTCTGATCCAGTCAGCCAGGTGGCCTCGCCCTTCGTTGCCGTCCCGGCGCCACGGACCCCCTCCCCCCCCCCTCCCCTTCACTCACCCCCTCCCCCTTCTCCGCCGGCCCGCCGACCTCGCGGCTAGTAAAACAGATTACCTGCCATAAAAACTCAAATGGCTTCGGGGGGACGACGGATGGTGCCGCGCGCCTCGGGGAGGGGAGGGCTCGTTGTCGTCCCTCTCTCTCTCTCTCTCTCTCTCTCTCTCTCTCTCTCTCTCTCTCTCTCTCTCTCTATCTCTCGGGTCGCTTTTTGCAATAAGTGGACGTGAGAACGGACGGAGAGACAGATCCGAGTTCCGCCACGTCGCGATGCGGCTCCTCGATCTCGGGGCCGTGGACTCTAAAAGTCTTGTGATGCAGATTCTCCATTAGTATGAAGTAAAATTCTCTACCTTGTGGTTTAAATTCTCCGTACAATAGTGTAAACTCTCCAGATGATAATGAGGATTGGCTATAGTGGTTCAGCTCCGAAATTTCGTTGCAACTTTGACATATTTTGCCGAATTTGTTGGTGCTTTAGATATTTTCGAGGAGAACTTCGGGCATCTTCGAAGGAGGACTTTGGGTATCTTCGGACGAGGAGGACTTCGGGCATCTTCGGAAGAGGACTTTGGGTAGCTTTCGGACGAGGAGGACTTCGGGCATCTTCGGACGAGGAGGACTTCGGGTGCACCCGAAGTGCACCGAAGACGATACGCGAAGTCCTTGTCCGAAGACATGTCTTCGGACAAGGACTTCGCGTATCGTCTTCGGATCGTCTATCGTCGCTTGGGTCAAGGGGGACAGCGGGAGGGGGAAGGGATGGTTCTGGAGAGCTCGGACGCTGATGATTAATGGTGTGCTGGTTCCCAGGTAGTTGATTCCAGGCCAACTTCTGGGAAGCGCCGGGTCTCGCCCAGACACAGTTGTTTGTCAGGGGCTCCAATCAATCTCGGCCCATTCGGACACGAACGAGAGAGAAAGGAGAGAGAGAGAGAGAGAGAGAGAGAGAGAGAGAGGAGAGAGAAAAGAGAGAGAGAAATCGAGGACT